CCTGTGTGACTAATGATGCTTAAGGAGATTACCAGGAAAGAAAATTGAATTCTAGTGTTCTTGGAAGTCCTTAGAGTTTTTGCTCCCCTCTTTTTTTTTTTAAGGTCTAATTGAACAATCAAAATCCAATTTCAGCCATTTACTGAGTTTCGTCTTTAGCTTCCTAGTGTTGCAATGTTTCTGGGTCAAATGCAGGAGAATATTTAATTGTAATAACTTTCCATGTTTTTTTAAGTGTGGAAATATTTCCAAATATTAATATTTGTTTCTGGGGAAGGGGGGCAGTCAAATGCAAATTGAAGGAATTTTTATCTGTTTATTTACTGTTTCGAGACTATCTAATCTTCTTCTTTACTTGTGTACAGAAGTCTTGCTACATTTTCAAGTCTACACATCAGCAGCAAGGAGTAGGGTCCATGATAGCAGCTGTGTGAGGAAAGGATATTGTTTCCAGACCAGCAGCCCAAAGAGACAGAAAGAGAAGGACTAAGAAAGGAAGGAATTACTTTTAGTCCTTCTTGAAAGGAATTTGGCAAAGCTAAGGAAGTTTCTCAAATAGAAATCAGGAACAATGAGGAACAAAGATACATCCATCGCTGTGTTCTTCCTAGTGCTGTTTCCTCTCTTCCTGCAAGAGCTTCATCTTTTCCCTGATGTTCCCCTTGAAAATATCTGGTAGATTCCGAAGAGACACTGTATTACTGCTCTGAAATAAAGTGGTGTGTGTAGTCAATTCCATTTCAGCTGCTGAATTTAAAATAAAACCACCACGCATTGAATGGAGCTCAAATTCATTCCTTTTTTAAAACTAGTATGAGAAACAGGAAAAAATACATATGCGGTGTTATGTTGCAGTGAACTTTAAACAAAATATTTCAAAGGCAAGTAAAAGGAACAAAGTGCTTGAGTTGCTAAACTGATGGCAGCAGTGTCTTCTTTTCATGCAGGGTGTTTAGAAATCTCATGACGTGGGATCGAAAATCCACTCTTTTTACTGTGTTTGAAGGAGTCTGAATGGTATCTTCTAACTTCAAAGGAAGCGTTCTACCAAAATGTCTTTTATTCTGTGATTTCCCTGTAGTCCTTCTAGCTTTAAAGTTTTACTTTAATTAAAATACATGGCTGTTTTTTATAGACAGAACTGGATTTCCCAGGGCAGTCAGCTGCAGGCAAGAACCGGGCTGCTGTACCTGTGACAGTGAACATGTGGCCCTTTTCTGTGTCATCGTGTACGCAGAATGCTTTGGGAATTCTGAACCCTGAAATATCTTATAGATGGGTCCTGAGTAAACTACCTGAAAGACTTAGTCTGGGTTCAGGAAAAGGAAGGAGGAGATTCAATATGTGGTTAGTTGAGTGTCCCGAGTAATTTTCTGAACTGCTAAGAAAAATTACCACTGCTTTGTTTTATTTCTTCAATCAATATTTGGAAAATCTGAGCTTGAGAAACCAGAGTTAAAGTAAATTTAAAGAACCTTAAAGGGCTAAAGCTGTGCATTGTTGACAAATAAGTTACTATACCAGAAAAGGGGGAATTAAGTTTCACAAAGCTTCTGATCTTCAAACCTACAGAGCTCTTCTGGCATTGAAACATAGCACAGGCTTCTGGAGTATTCCATGTTTGCATAAATCAGAGAGTCAGAGCATGAGCTCTGTCTTGCTATGGAGTCAGGCATCACGTGCTTGTGTCCAGAATTTACATCATGTTAAACGCTTAGCCTGCTTAAATGGTAGGAGAGATTTTAGCATTAACAGGCTCTTCCGTATGTTCATCGTAAATCGATGGGTTTGTGTTGACCTTTCAAAAGCAGAAGAGATCACATCTTTACAAAAGATGCTGAAGTAATACCTCCTTAGGAAAAAAAAACAAAAAAACCCAAACAACAAACAGAACAAAACAAAAAACCCTAAACCCTGACAGAACTGTTGAACATGTGTTTAAAGGGCGTGAATTTATTTGCATGTGGTTACACTTGTCACCTGCAATGAATGGGTCATCCCCTGGGCTCTACCTAGCCCTGCGTATGCTCCGGGGGAGCAGAATACACAGTGCTTTGGAAGATGCTGATGTAGAGTGGAAAATGAAAAATAAAGTGGAAGGTTGTTTTCTCTCAATATGATGTTACTCCTGCTCATCTCAACTACCTAAGAGGGAGCAGGCTTCTCAAAAACATGGAGTGGAAAATAGTGGAAGAGAGATTATGAGTAGGCTGCCTTTGGTCTCTTTTGAGATGCTGCTGTTTTCAAGCAGTAATTCTGGCAATCCTTTCTTCTCTTTCCCCATTTTTGAACTTGTTTAAAATGGAGCTCAACCTTCAAATGAGAGGAGAAGAAAAGCAGTTGAGAGCACTTGATTTTCCATCTACCCTTCCTGCTCTTCAAACTTGCTTATCAGAAACATCAGCGAGTGGAACAGGGCACTGGTCAGGCAGAAAGGCACCGATGAGAGTAGAGATGACTTGGATACTGTTTTCTGCTCTTCCACTGGCATGCTGCTTGATTTTAGGGAAAATCGGTTCCCTATCGCTGTTTTCTCCTTATATAAAACAGGAAGGAATAAATTTCACAGGGGATGTTGATTGCTTTCAGATTTTCTGATGAAAAGTGCTGCATAAGAGCTAGTCAGTGTATCATTGACTGCATGAATACTACAGAATCTGTAATAATTTTTCTTCCTCTGTGTCAGTTTGGGATACAGAGGGAAATTACCTGGTTTCCTCATTTCTCATTGCTTTTCCTAGTGCTCAGGACCCCAGGCCACTGATATTATGCAGCAGATGCTTTTCATAGATTGGATTAAGAGTTGATGAAGTAACAGAGCCTCACGCAAGCATCCCACTGTGCTCTTGAAGCTGGAATTTCATTCCTGGTAGTGATCTGTATGGCCTTGCATTTACCTTAGAAAAATATTATTTAAAAAAAAAAAAAGACCTTTGGAAAGAAGGGAGGTAATATTAATACTAAATTCTCGCTAACATATAGTGTTCAATATGTCACTAAAGGCCTAACGGTATTTAATACGTGGATTCTTCTAAATAGTGGATGTGTAATTCTCCTAAGATGTTTTATAAACTATAAGAGGAAGAGGTACAATTGTTCACAAATGTTTCACCAAGATTGTGTTAAGTTAGTTAAAATTGCCTTTGAGAGTAGAGTTGCACTAAAAAGAGAGAGGAGAGATGGAAAAAAGAAACCCCAAAACAGGGTCCTGCTCAGTCTAGAGTTTCAGCGAGAGAGGAAAAGGTCTAGTTATCCAGAGCCAGATGCATTGTTAAAAGTTCATACTATCACTTTGACATTTAGAGTAGGACTCAGTGTCTTTGTAAATTCCTCTTCGTATTACCAGTGTAGGTCTCTGAGCTCAGACCATTTCACAAACCATAACATTTTTTAGTGAGTGATTGATCTGTATTATGTGTCCTAGCCATCAGAAGAATCTTGGGATGTTGCTTGTATAAACTGTAATACAATCTGATCCTGGGCATTTAGTTACAGACTTTCATAGACCTATTGGCGATACTCAATCCTCCTGGATTTGGGAATAGGGCTTATCTGATACCTTAAAAAAAAAAAAAAAAGGGGGGGGGGGGGAGAGATGAAAAAATAAAAGCCCCTCATTTTCTCTGTTCCCCACTTAAATAACTCAACACATCTGGTAACACTGTAGGATCATTGTCCTTTCAGTTGCTCTGCAGCTCTTATTGCTACAATATTTCTTTGGTATCTAGTTTCCTAAAGGGCAACGTGATTTTTTTTTTTTAAAGACTGTTTTTATAGGTCTTGCAAATTAACCCATATGCATTGCAAGAAAAAACATGACTTTTAATCAGCACCATTTCTAAAGTTAGCGCTTGCTCTGTGTATATGAATATGTATATGAACCAGTGTTTAAAAAAAAGAAAACATACAACCTTTCTGCTAGTACTCAAAGCTAGCATACAAATGTGTTTTTATTATCAAATAAAGTATGCCTAATGTTAAAATATCTTTCTGTTAGGGGTTTTATCATTTCACTTCTTGTCTTCAGTTACAAGAATGATAAAAATTGAAACTAAATCTTTTAATTCAATAAGAACTATGTTGAATTGTAGGAAGCAAAAAGAGGGATCAGATATAGACTCATATGCATAGGAAATTAAACATTCAAGAAATTAAAACTTTGTGAGCAACTAAAGGGGTAGCCTTAAGGTGTGCTTATTTGAAATGCCTGTATTTAATTTTACAATAAATCTGAGTATTTTGTTCCAATTAAGACAGTTCATGTGCACGACTTTAAATTGTACAGTAGTTCCAGGGAGACCGTGGACTGCTTGTTTTACATTCTGGATCAAGTTCAGATTTTTAGGCTTTGCTTGAATAAAATAAAAAGTCTGAACCCTGAAGATAATACAGATTGATAAATCTGATTTAAACATTCCCGTGTTGCAGACTTTCAGTGTATGTGGTACAGCTGAGCCTCAGGCCATGCACTAAATACATCCACAGTGCATTCCCAGGGCACCCGAATACCAAATGATCACATTTGAAAGGTTACCTTTCTATGGATTCTGACTTTTCTGTATTAGCCACGAAGATTAGAATTTTAACAGCTCCCAATGAGAGGTATTGTGAAGTATTTACTTGGCAGGAAAAAACCAAAACAAAACAAAGCCCAGATGAGGTACTGTCTCATATTCATGAGCTGGGATTTATTAGTTCTGTGAATGTCCTTGTGAGAATACACTCCATAGTTCACACTTTAGGAAAAAAAAAAAAAAGTCTTGTTTTTCATTTATATTAACTTAAAACTTTGATAGAAGAGTTACTGTAGTAGAGGTTTTAGCAGAGAGACAGGATCATGCTTGTGCAGAATATATCGCAGTAAATCTTGCAGTCTTTCACAAGTAGCTTTCTGCAAGGAAAGTTATGACCGTTTATATCTCTAGAAATCTGGCAGTAGCTTTGTTAGTAAATCTGGTCATAATTAAAGATGTAAGGCTTTTTCTCCTTTTCTTTTACAGGTTGTGGAACTCATTTCAAGTGCTATTGGTGACTTAGTTCAAGGTATATATTACGAAAACTCAAAATCATCTGAGGTAAGAATTTCAGTAGTTTTACATACCCAAAAATGTTGTTGATATTAACATGTGACTACAATAAATGTGATTACTTTCTCATCTGTTTAAAAGGAGAGAGAGGGAGGAAGAGAATTAGCTGCAGTCCTAGTGAATGTCAGCAGTAATATCGTTACAACACCTGTGAACTCTGATAGAAGTTTCTAGAAATGCTCAAGGAGGGACTATTTTATTTCTGTGAGTGCTTACTAAAGCAATATCATACGTCATTACCAGGAGCTCTAGATTTGTCTTACTATGGGCTTTCCAAACACTTCCACAGGTTTCTAGTCAGGGTTCTGTTAGAGGCATTTATTACAATGTTGTCAACATCATTAATATTTTCATGCTGAATCTCTAATTTCCAAGCCCAAAGGTGTTTACAAAACGCTTCATCCCAAAATTGAATCGGGTTCTTTCTCCTTCTGAGTGTTCACCTTTTGAAAATATAAACATGAGTCTTGGCCTGAAGCGGTAGGAGTGTAGCACTGTACTTTTCACCAAAAGTCACGGTGCCTGCACTACAGAAGTCAGCATGGGCAAAGACAGCAGCTGCCAGCATTTCACACCAAATAGTCTTGTATTTCTTCAAGGGAAATTACGGATGTACTGTGTTGTTGTTTGGCAAGAATTGTAATGAAAATCGGTCGAATTAGATCTAGGTATTTTTGTCTGTACCAGAATATTTAAGGAAACTTGTAGAAACACTTCTTGAAGTAGGCTTGTTTGGGCGGGGTGTTGGAGCAAAAAAAGAGTTCTTTCTTTTATTTGCTGTGACTGTAAAAAATTGATAATTTAAAGTTGCCATGACCTCTGCAGGTTTTATGATAGCAAGTTTTCACTGAATGGGAATGATGAGTGGTGTGTATATGTGAATATCTATCTTGAAATCCACTGAGGTAGATAGATTTACTTACAGTGACATTTTCTCACGTGCCTAGTTTGCCTCAGAGACCTGAATCTTAATATCCAATAGGTGAAATGGCTTGAAGATTGCAGAAATACATGAATCCATTTATATTTGTTGTGTATTTAGATTGCAGCTCTGGTTTACTATTGCAGTGTTGTAGTATGTCGCAAAATGAATACCTTAGCGGAAGCCCTGATCTCATGGGTTACTGCTACAGGAGATACTTGCACTGATGGCTCTGTACCAGCCAAACCACAGTGGGCAAGCAGAGACTATCAAGCTGTGGATGTGCCATCAGCTAACCATGGCTGGGCCCTGGAAGGGGGGTGCTGCTGCACCCAGTGGCTCTGTTGGTCGGTATCTGTCTCTCTTGCTCTGCAGCAGCAAAGACATGTTGCTAAAACTAACCTCATTTAAGCTTAATCCCTCTCATTTTGATTGAAACCAGTTAGGTTAGAAGTGATGATGAGCTGAGCTCTTCCCTGGGAGGAGGCGAGAGCCTCTAGCAGGAAAGTGATAATGGCACGCTCAGGAGATGCCGGCGGCCGCAGGCTCACCGGGCAGCTTGGCAGGGATGACGTGCACCGAGCTGTCCTCTGGCACCTCTCAGGAGGGGACCCTGGGTGGAAACGTGGCAGCAATGCGATGTTGGGAACTTGGCCGTCCTTCTGCACCCGCTGTGTTTAACCCATGGATTAAGAGACTGCAGCCTTCAGTCTGTGATTCCCAAGTACTGTGCTCAGGGTTATGTGTTAAAATAGATGACGCCTTTGAGATTTTTTGCAAAGAATGCCTAAATTTTTATTTTCTCTATTCAAGCAGGGTTCTAAATACAAGTAGATCGCAGTTATATTTAAAAAAAAAAACAACTACTCTTGTGGGTGTAGAAGTAAAGCTCTACAAGTTCGTCTCGGCAATCAAACTGCATTTTATTTTAACCATGGCCCCTGTATAAATGAGAAATGTTGTGCACTTGTTTGGGTTCTTGCCACTGCAGAAGGTCTTAATGTTCTTTTTCTTAGTCTTTCTTTTTCTGTTTATTTTCTGTTGCATTACTGAAGCACTCCCCATGTGTAGATTGCAAGGGAAGTGTGAGATGAACTAAGCACAGCTGCACGGTGTTTACCCTGCCCTGGCCCAATTACAAAGTGCAAAGACTTATTTTCAGTGACTTTTTCTGTCTAAGGAGAGTTGAAAGTACAGTATGCTCTTCTGAAGGGGAACCCAGTTAACTCAAAACACAATTAGTATGCTGGCATAATAGAAACTGAAAATTACACGACAGTGTCTGAAGTTTAGTCTTTCTTATGGGTAGTGCATGGCTTTTGATGAGACCCAGAACAAACAAGTGTGGGATCTACTTTAATTTATTTTTTTTAATCTTGTCCTCTGAGAAATTTGGTTCCGTGCTGTGTATGAGACATATCCCTGCTGCTTTTCTTACACTATTCTTCTGAGGCAGTGTCCCATTTGTGTCCTGAACACCTCATTAGCAAAGATTGCCAAATGGAGTAGGTCAGTTGTTGGTCTGTTTTATTTGTATCCTTTATGCACCTTGCCTCCATCCCTCATTGCAATTTGACTGAAAGAAGAATGCGAGCTACATTTCCTAGAGGTAAGACAAATGCTTTAATCTACTCTGCAACTAAATCTCAAATGTCAAGTTCTATTTCTTTTTAAGAGTAGGGCACCGGGATGTTAGTAATGGCATTTTCATTGCTTGGAATGTCTTAAATTTGGAAAAGCAGAAGGATATCTTCTCACCTTTTTCTTTTTTTTTTTTTTTTTTTTCCTTTTGAGGCAGGAAAACTGTACTTCATATGTTAAATGCCTTTAATGCAGTTGTTACAAAGCTGCTTAGTACCATAAAATAGACTAATTTGGCACCAAGTTGTTTTGAGCTTTGCTAGATGTCTACCTAGACGGTTTTAATCTTTCACTTTAGATAAAAATAACTCTGCAAAATTCACCTTTCTGCTCTGAGACCCTAAGTTCATGTTTACCCCAAAAAAAAAGTTTCAGTTTGCTTCATTTGGATGACCCAGTACGAAAATTGAAAGAATCGTTTGACCTAACAAGACTGACCTTATTTACTCCTGAAGACATATAATGGATATAATTATTTGACAGCTCTCATTACCGCTTTTTTTCCTCTGTAAAACCACATGCAGTCCTACAGCCGTCCCATTTTTGTATGTTCTGTTTGGTCATTCTTCATCTTGTCTGCATAGTGAGTCATTAGATCTGCATGTAACAGGGAAAATAAAGATAATATTTAACTTTTCATCTTTATTTGAAGTGAGAATCCAAACTACAAAGCGTAGGCTTTGGTTGCAAAGACAGCCTGAAGGTTAGGGCTGCCACTCATGTTCAAAGTAGCAAATAGCTGCTGTGGTTTAAGACATTGCATTAGTGGCTTAAGCTAATATTTTGGACTGTAAGCTGGAGCAAAAAAGGGTGATGTGATAAATCTTTGCAGCTTTGTGTGCTAAATCCCCTCGCAGCCCAAAATTCTGTGAGTGAAGTACATTCTTCCCAGTTCCTGTCTGTCTTCCCTAAATCTAGATCTAATTTGGGAGTAAAAAATTGTGCCTTCAGTGAGTGCAAAGATGAAAGTTGTCTAATCTGGCCTTCAGTCATGATCGTGGTATCTATTCTTAACAGAAGAATATTGCACTGAGTCTGTTTCCTACTTTCAAGAGACTGAAGGCTTCTAAAACATTTGCAAACTCGCAAAATCCTGTCGCGTTTTTAGAAGCCTTCTGTCTTAATATCCCAGATCATTTAACAAGTATTAATGAAGAATGCTTTAACATCCCTGTCAGTTCACTGAACAGGGACGGGAGATACAGGGAAGCTCAAGGTCAAACAACAGAATCAAGAGCAGGACTTGAGTGTTGGTTCTCGTGCTTTATCTGCCAGACCATTCTCGTAATCTTGGAGTATTAGAGATTTTCATGGGAAGCTGCCCTGGGTTGTTTTTTTCCTCACCTCCGGAATATCTAGCTGATGCTAAATGTGCATTACCAAAACTCATTTTTAGTGTCAGAATGGGACTGTTACGTAAGACGGGACCATTTCCAACATGTTCCACTGGTGGCTAGAAGAGCTGTTAGGTATTTTTGAAATTTTCAGTGCAATTGTGTAAAAATTGTGTATAAGTAATATGTAAAACAAGTTGAAAAAAGAAATACATTAGTGGCAAGTACTCACTGTACCAAATAGTGAATTAACAAGTATTTATTTTGTAACAATAAAGGTTTTTTTAATGAAAATAAGTGGGTTGGTTTTTTTTTTCTGGCAAAATACAGACTACATGCAGTGAGTTGTACCAATTCTTGTTTGATGTTTGGTCACCAGTCCTTCTTTGAGGAGTAATCTTTTGGATACTGCACATGTCCATCGACTGAACTACTATGAGTCTGTTATAAGTAAAGAATTTGCTTATAAATTTTACCATAGGATGTAAATCAAATGTATTGAGTCATGTAAACGACCTTTTAGCAGGGCAGTAGTGAGAGTCAGAGCTTTCACTTTCTTTCTTTTTTCCAACCAAATGTTTCTGTTGCAAGACTAAAGGGAAGTATAAAATATGGAATTTGAGTAAAGAGCATCTGTGAAAAGAATGGGTAAATGTGTCAGAGGGGGGAAAAAAAAAAGCATAGCTAGAGAGAAGGCCAATGCTATTTGTTTACTGCTTTTGTTCTTTTGAATACTAAGCTTTTCCAGAGAGATTTAAAATAACAGATGTGGAGAGATATTTAAATCTATTATAATTTTTCAAGCTTTTTTTAATCAAGTGGTTTTTTTACAGTGTCACAGTAAAAGTATTAGGTATTCAGTGGCATGTTTTGTTGACCCATTTGCAGACATCCTTGTTCCTTCAAAAGCAGTGAAGACATGTACTGATAGACCAATAAAACATGCCTTGTCATGTTCACCAAGCGGGAATACATCTGTTGAAGGCTTATGTGAACCATGTGCAAAATGTTTTGCTACTGGTAGAGAGATTCATAGTTGCACTGGAATTTATTTATGTAAAATAGAAGCTCTTGAACTACCTAATTTAAAACTTAAAAATCCTATTTAAAAATATTCCTGTGTGTTTCTGTGGATTATTTGCCCCTTGAGAACTGAATGAAAGTTTGATATAAGGGGTTCAGACATTTTGATCATTGTGTGTGACAGCACATGGCTCAGAAAGAGCTGCCGCGGTATGGAAATACAATACAGGCTCCCTTACAAACTATAGTTGAAGTTTTACATTGAAAAGTCTCTGACTGTTATTCCTTCATGGTTTTGCAAATGGTTTTGTGCACTTTGAAGACACAGTTTTCATTCATATTTTCCTTAATATACGCTGAACTGTGTTTAAGCATCTTCTTTGGTGTGACAAATCAAACTGAGTTATAAGTGCCACGTTTGTACCGGGGATCCTTGTTACCATCGCTAAGAGCTGCCCTTTCTGATGGTTGTGATTGCATATTTTGTCCTGCAATTTTGTTTTCTAAAAGTTTCTTGTTTCCTGCTGCCTGAGATGATTATTTCAAACCCAATTTAAATTATGGAAGTAGCTCAACAAAAAAATCTCAACTGGCCAATTTCTTTCTAACAAAACAGTAACTGACCTTGCCATTAGTAAAATGGGAGCACCCTCAGCTGTTCTTCATTTCCCATAGGAAATTATGATCGACAGAGCTGGATTTGGAGATTTTGCCTGTACTCCCATGCTGACATTATCCAAACTGTACCTGGAGTTGGCTGCTTTCTTCCAGGGATGGTGAGGGGTTCGGCTCTCTTCATCCAGCTTCTGCTACACGGACAGCGTCAGGGTTGGTTGTCATCTGGACCCATTTCTTGGTGACAGAGCTTGTGAATGAAGTCATTCCATTGGCATTAGTTAATCAGATGTCTGAGCACTGTCAATTACAGGTAGAATTAATTTAGGTTTAAAAAGGCTTTTATATGAAAGGCTGGTAGGAATCTTCTGGGCCAGCAAATGTCCACTTTTTTATTTATCCTTTGAAATATCCACTGCTGACAAAACAAAACAAAGCTTACAAAAAAGGGAAAATTTCTCTAAAAATAGTAAGTGCTGTCATAATGTCAGATTTCAGAGACTTTGCAATGTAGAACTAGTTCAATTTTTCCCTTGATGTTTTAAAATAGTGTTTAGATCTTGTCATACATCACGTTGTTGTAAGAAATGCAGTGTGGTTGGTGGGACAGTTTATATATAACATGAGGGTTAAGCTTGGGGAAAAAATGGCTTTTGGATTGTTGGAAAAATTTGCTGAAGAAAGGTTGTGTCTGCCTCTGCTGTCTTAAGCAGCATAAGATTTAGGGGTGTGTGGTCATAAGACGTTCTGTGATTAAAATTGGCTATGTCTTGGCTTGCAAGCCCATATGCTAAAGCACATCCATATGGGCATAACGCCTTTTTACAACTGGCTTCTTTCTGTAATCCAGAGATCCACAATACCTATGTTTTTAAGATTTCAATACCGTATCTTCAAATATACCTCAAATTTTTGTCTTTTTTTTTTTTTTTGAAAGTTCGTTGTCCATTTTAGATGCTTGAGGCTTCTACATGCTGTTCATGTAGTGGACAATAACTTATGCCATCATTTTCAATCCTGTGATGAAATTCAAACTTATTTAAGAATAATGTATTTTTGTAAAAAATGAAAGAATTAATTTCCTGGTATACATCGAGTTGCAGTAACTGTTTAAGCTTCTTCAGTTACTGCAGTTGATACTTGATAATGTCTGCATTTCTGTTACCGCTCAAAGGTTCCAGCAAGCAAACATTTTCAACTTATGGGTCTTCTGAAACATTTTTTAACTTTATAAATTGTATCAGGATACCTTTCTAGAGTATTTGTGTCTTGGTTGGATTTAAAACAAATAATTATAAAAATCACTGCCAACTTTCAATATCATCCAGCAAATTTTAGTAAATACTGTTTTTTCGCTGAGCAGATTGGTTGTTAAGGAAAAGATTATGTTGCGTCTTCCAAGAGCTTCTGATTTTAAATTTAAAATAAATTGATCTATATCAGAGTGGAAAAAAAAAAAAAAAGACTTGATATATAGGAAACTACTTGAATTAAATGCTCATTTTGACATTTTGCCAGTCATGGGAATTTGCACATGATCTGGGCTGAGTTAAGATATTAAAATAAAAATACTACAGTAAAATGAAACACTAGGAAAGTTTAGGATTGACTTTGTAAGTTATCATATGCATAATAGCAAACATGTGGTTTCTCTGTTCTTCACTTTCCTTGTATAAGTTAATAGTATGTCTGAAAGCAAAGGCATTTTGATACAGCTCTGTGTTACTTGGCATTGCAGAATTCTCCTACTTTTCCCATTAGTCTCAAATTATCCTCTCCCTTGTAACACGGCACTTCTGGGTGATATCCATAAGGGAGAAAAATTAGAGCTGAACGGATGGATTCTATTTCATTTGTTACCGATTTCATGACAGATAATACCTTGCTAGAAAACTATAGGGTCACACAGAATTACTTCTTGCTCATTTCCAAGTAATTTAATTGACGTCACTTTGAGGGAAAAGGCTTGTTATATAAGAGGGTTTTTTATATTACTATTTTAAAGAATACCTTTTGACTTAGTGTACACTATAGATTTGAACTGAGAAATTACAAACTTTTTAAGATCTGTATGCTTGAAATTTTTTTCTTAGCTTCTTATTACTGATTTTAGTTTTTTCTAAGCAAAACAACTGTGGTCTTTTCTGGTTTTGTTTTTTCCTCCTTAGGGAGAACCTAAAGGAGTGACAGTAATATGTGTATGTGAGAAAGGTTACGAAGTCATGTCTAGCTTTGAAAACCAGTTAGTAATATACTGTTATATTGATACCTTGTGAGCCAAAGGAGCTGCAGTTGAATTTGGGGTTTGGGGGAAAGGATTGGATTTGTGGTAATTAAAACATTTTGTGGAAAGTAATCCAAATTAATATTTTGGATACAAAGGATTTTGAGAAGCACTGAGCATCTCTGACCTTACAGTCAAGGTGATAAAGTTCACTAGAGCCATCAATGGGGTCTCTGTCAGTCCACTGGGAAAGTTAATACTGACATTTCTAAATTACAGCATTATTTATTTATTTTTGAATACTTTCATTCATTCCTCATCCTTAATATAAGAGTGGAAGAGGTACAATTCCTCCATCATAGCTCTTCGTTTTTCCAGTGCAGTTCTATAAGGATTTTTAATACCTTTTGTGATTTATTTTTTTTCTTGACTACAAAGGAGAAATGGCAGGGACTTCTCAAGTTTGTTTGGGATTGCTGGGTCTTGCTAAGTGGCAAGGGGCTGAAGTGCAGATGTACTGTGGGGTTTTGGGTTGGGTTTTTTTGGTCTTTTTTTCTTTTTTCTCCTGAGTCCCTCATGAGGAATATAATCAGCTGTTAATGTTCAGTGTAACGATACAGTCATTACAAGAAAAGAATCTATGTTGAATCTGTTGACAACCATGTATTTTGCATTGTTCTTTTTGATCAGAAACTGAAAATGTTCATTGAAGCTGCCAGTATATTTATTCTGATACTTTTCTCTACTTATCCTCAAAATAATGCCTTTCTTTGGCACTGTCGCACCTAGGGTTTTGTTACTCACTACGTGTCGCATTATCCTGTGCCACACCGTTAACTTCTGCGAGCTGACACAGATGCGATTTCAGAGTTTTCATGTTCGCCTTTGTTTCATTTTCAGGAGAACTGTCTTACAGATGATATCGGCATATCTACGTGGAAGGAGCAGGTTTTTCTGTCACATAGTGCCTTGCTGGCAAAGAGCTGCCAGGCTGCAATGGAGCTAGCAAAGCACAGCACTGAGATTCAGGACATGGCATTTCAGTATGGAAAGCACATGTCTATGAGTCATAAGGTACACCTTTTCCTTTCGTTCTGGGATCTTAAAAACAGAAAGACTTGGAAGATATCTTGCTCTTGAGCTGTCATATACTGCCACTATGCTGTAGACTTTTGCCAGCAGGTCAGTGGTGTTGAGACATTTGACTGCTGCCTCATGTGAAGATGTTTGCAGAAACTGCTGATATGAACGATGCTTATGAACTGGCAAAATCACAATTCTAGCAGTGCAGCTTATTTCATTCAAGGCTCTGTTAACATCCCTCTAGCGCATGTTTCTGTAGTGGCTTAAAACTTTACCTTCTCTGCTCCTACATTCTTCTTGAAGCTGCTGTCCCAGTAGCAGGACTTGCAGGAGAAAGCATCTGTTGGGTCTCAGCTGCCACCATGAAGAGGTTTGTACTGAGAGGCTCAGCTGCCTGCAGCAGCACACAAGGCTGAGGCATGAGCTGCAATGGCTGAAGGACCTGCATATGTTCCCTTCTGAATGATCTGCTGGGGAGGTAACTCCAGAGCGGGTAGTTGGGGGATAAGGAGGGAGGTCACCAGATACAGACAGTAGCAGCCTGCGCCTCTGTAGCAGTGGGATTTCCCAGAGAAGGCCTTTGATCTCCATTAGAAGTCTTTCAGTCCACAGCTAGAGTTAGCCCAATGGAAAACACAGTGTGGAACTTGTGTCCTTGGCACTCTGGTTTTGCCCTAGACGTCTGCTCCTACTGTATTGCAGTACTTGCAAGTATTGACGTAGCTTGAGACAGGCAGACAGACCTCCCATCCGCTTCAGCTGAGTTTGTTTAGATAGTTTCTAGTTCCTCCAGGAGAAGGAAGTGGTTTTATAAAGCACAGCTTTACTGCTGTAGAAATGCCGCTTTACGCTATTACTAGGTACAACTCTACCAGTAAATTGCTTCTAGGGCAGGCTATAGCCTTAATATTTTGTGTATGCTTCAATATCAATACATTCACCATTGACATATAGTTGTGTAGAAAAGATTGCATAATTTTCATAGAAAGCTCTTAGCTATGTAACGTTTCCTTTGTCAGAAGGAGGGTTGTCACATTGCATCAGCTTCCTCGGGTACTGAAAAGTAGATTAAAAACTGATATTCTTCCCACCAGACTGGATCTCTCTTTCCTTTATATTTTTACTGCTTCCTGCCACTCAAAAATTGCCTACCTGGCTGTGTCCCATCACTTGCCCAGCTCTGCGAGGCATTTATGCATTTCTTTGCAGATTCTCTACATGCTTCTCTTACCACAACTTTCTACCACTGCAGTACTTCCCCCTCTTCCTCTCCCTCTGCCAAACTTGAAAAAGTACAACCAAAGTACAAGTGACAAAGTAGGTACAGGATGAAGATATGGACCTTGATTTGGTGAGTGGATATGAATAGACTGTTCCTGGAACTGAAGTAAGGTGTTCTTCTCTTTCAGCTACATTCGGACCTTCAGCCATTTGTTAAAGAAAGTTCTAGTGACACCATGGCCTTCAGTTTGAATTCTGCTCCTGCAGTCCTGCATCAGGAATTCCTTGGAAGGGAAGCATGGATTAAACAGATCAGAGAGGTAAATTAAAGCATTGTTTAGAGTTTCATAGTTTTGCAATTTGTATGTCTCTTCCTATCTGTACTTTCAATCTGCGAAGAACCTTAGAAACTAACAATGGACAAGACAATATATAGAGGTTCCTTCTGCTCTCCAATACTTAACACCTCTCTCTTCCGTACTTTCAAGAGGGGCAAATCTAGGCACCTGACAGTCAAGCTCTGTCAGACTTCTGTGTGTCGGTGTAACAAGCAGATTCGTTTGCGTGGAGCATATGTCTGTTCCTCTGCTCTACTTGTGCAGTCCCACGTCTTAGCTTAAAGCTACTTTCACTGGCAGCTTAAAGGAGAGAACTTTGCATTACAGTGGTTGAAAGGTGGGCACACATTTCTTTCTGCCAGCTTGGCTCTGGGAACAGTAATTTTGGATGGGGGGGAAAAGATCTAGGAAACTTGGCTTCCTGACCACTACAAAATATTTGTGAGATGTAGCTGGTTGATGTCCTTATTCTCAGTTCTCTTAATTCAGCTGTCTGCCTCTAACTCTTAGATGAAGGAGGCAGTAAGAGTAAGATAGCTGTGTGGTGTAGATCTATTTTATGTACCATGTAGCACAGCAGGGTTCAGATAGCTTCCTGGGTGTTGTTGAAACACAAATAGCTAACTGTACAAGACAGAGGGGGAGAGACACCAAAAATGGCCAAAATCAGGCATTCTGTTGAGTTCCTTCATCAGTCAGATGTGTTTTGCCTGTCTAAACAGCTGTGATGAGTACCATTTGGAAGTTCCTGCAGTTGTTATACGGATTCTTCAGTAGAAAGACTTTTGCCTTTGATAAGAAGCTAGCTCTGTGCCAGCGTATTCATTCAAGACGTGCTTGCCGATGGCTTCTTTCCTTGCTGGTTTGAAAGCAGGACTCTCAGGCAGAGGGCGTGGAGTCTGAGCCTCTGCCCAGTTCTGCGTTCATGATGGCCAGGTTGCGGCCTGCCTTCCTGTACCTCAAGCAAGAGGTATAGTCTCTTCAGCATTGAAATTTTGGGAAGTATATGCAGAATCTACAATCTTACAGTAGTATGGAGTTGGGGGATCTTAAAGTGAAGCAAACCTTTTGTCGTTTCGAAATTAGGTAGTTTATAACGTGTGACGAGGAATTTTGGAATTCTGTAATCTTGACACAAGGTTCATATGCGAGTTGAATATAAATGGATTCGGATGATTGCAGTTGGAGAATAAGGGTATTACCACAGCATAGCGTACAAAAGCTTTGAAGCAATTTCCCATCTGCAGAATCTAGAGGAGATTGTGGGACTCCAGGAGTGCCGTCTGTCTGCTTAGTAATTCTCATACCAAAAATGGGCATTGTAGAAACAATGAAGCATTTCTTACTGAAGGGAGGAGAAAATCAAAGAGGGGGGAGGAGGGAGGGGGAGGGATATTCACTATGCAAAAGCATCTACTAACTGCTACTTTAGCTAAATACAAAGTGGAACGCCTAGTCCAGGAGCCTTTTTTGGCTTGTGTTGATTTAGAGAGGAAAATTGCCTTTCATTAACTACAGGCTCTTTGAGATGTCATCCATAGTCACATTCACTGTGTGACATTCAGCCTAGGCCAAGCGCTCAAACCAGAGGCATTTTGGCAGTACTGGTAAGAGTATGCTCATAAGCCACCCTCTTGTGCAATGTCATTTGTATGGTTTAAATAGGCAAAGCATGCACGGTGCACTCAGTCCCTGTCAGGTAGAATTGTTCTTAGTAGCTGAGTTATGACTACGCATATGGAAATCATGTTATGGACCTGTAGTTACTGCTAAGTAGTTTGACTTTCTCCTTTGACTGTTTGCCCATATAAGCATTCATACGATGGATTGAAGGCAGCACCTCGTCTTGATAGCTTCCTCCTCCTGCAGAAAGGTCTTGGAGTTTAAGAAAGTGGAGGTGGTGAGCCCATTGTACCTAACAGCCTCCACAGTGATATACTGCTTAGAAAGCACATGACTGGGACTCGGTGCCTTTCATGCATATCTTGGATGAAAGCAGTCTTCAGAGACATCATGAAGGATGCCTGAACTGCTGTGAAGTGCCCAGAACTTGAGTGATTGTCTCACCACAGTTCTCATGTCAGAGATCCAGATACAGTTGTTCCCAACGTAGCCCTTTAGTGGAGGTAGCCACATGCACCTTTCTGCTGCTGAGCTGAAGACCTTTTCAAAGCCCCCTTGTCTCTTCATTTGGAAGGAGCAAAACGTATCGGATATCCAGGTGCAGAAGGTTATATCAATGCTAAATAGAATGTGTTTTGAGAAGATTAGGTTCTGATTTTGATGAAATTTAGACTGCCTTAAAAGGGACTTGGGATGCATATAGGGGGAAGCCTTGTCATAGGAGGAAAAGAATGTGTACGTATGTGTACATTAGTGTATATACATGGGGGTGTGTATATATATATAAAAACACACGAATGATCCATAAAGACCCAAGTCTCACCTACTGTCACTGACCTCACCACCAACACCCTCCACTTTTGTGCATTTAAAATTAAAATGCTGAATGAACTGTTTGGTCAAGTGTCTATTTTAAAAGCAGTATGGGTTGGAGTAGAGTCCCGAAAGGTTTAAAAACAAAAACAGAACAAAACAAACAAAGGAAAAAAAACCAACCATGGTCTTAAATGGTTCCTCGGAAACACCAGTAGACAGGCAAAGAAATACTTGAGTGCTCTTCAGATGAAGGGTGTAATAGTTGCTGAATGCAGTCCCACTGAGCTTTTGGAAAGCCCCATATTCTTAAAATTTTGCAGATAAACCAGGATTATAGGATGGAGGATTTACTGGGGGTCAAAAGACAGAAGATTTGGTCACTTTTAGCCACTTGATACCTCTCACTAGACAAGAGCAAAAATTCTCTGGCTTCAACAGGCATCCAGCATCTAAGCAGTGAGGTACAAAAGGTCAAAGTCTGAGCGAAGAAATAAAGTGGAATCCCTCAAGATCAGGTCTAGAATCCATTTTAGCTCATACCATTTGTAATTTTAAAAAGGAGTAAGTCAGAAACTAGACCCATCTCATCTAGGCCAGGGTAATCTGTGCACCTTTCACCGTATATTTCTGAGCTTTCTCAGAAGAAGCAAGGCTGGAAGAAAAGCATTTATCAATTGCTTTATCAAGCATTTCTCAAGTATAGGTTTTAAGACATGTGAAAGGGACCATCTCATCTGAGAAAGAAAAAAATCAATCTTGGAAAACATCTGAAAACCTGCACCAAAAAAACTTTGTCTTAAACCATCCACTTGTGGTCTGCTTATCTGATGCATTTTGAGTAATTTCACGGGGGATTCAGGTATCCTTCTTCCTGGCAAGGTGAGTTGATTTCACACCACCTCATTTATTAATGAAGAATGTCATGGTATAATTGTCCCTCACTACTGGCACGTGGTGATCTTTGATGTTCAGGAGGAAGGCTGGGCTGAGCTGGCTGTTAATGTCTCTAATATGCAGGCAAGCAGATGCTTTTCTTTGAGGGCCCTGAGACCCCACATGCAGAGGCTGAGCTCCCCAGCCAAGCAGTGAGACCTAGAAAGTTAGCCAAGTTTGACAGGAGTGCATGCCTTTTGCAAGTCAGGCTTAATACCTTTGAGGAACCTAAACCAGATGCAGAAGTCTGATGTAAAAGGGAAAGAAAAAATCTGTGTGTCCAAAATCGGGGTCAGTAAAAGTCAAAGAGCTGAACTACTGTGAGGATAAAAAGAAAGAAAAGAAAAAAAAAAAAAGCAGAGGTGCACTTGTTGTAAAGAAGGCTTAGGAAACAGATTAGGTAGGGTTGCTGCTTGGAGAAGCACAACTGCCGTTGACTTGTATGCTCGAGAGGAACAGAGCATGAGAAAACATTCTTGCTGTTTGTAATGTGTATTGTATGCAGGGGGAGGCACGCTGAGCGCACCTCTTCGAGTATTGCTAAGACTAGAAAGCATCTTCCTCAAACGTGTTGGCAAATTCTCTGCTGCAGTGTGAATCTGCATATAGGCAACCATTTGTTAAAGAACATATTTTTGGTATGTTCTGATATACAATATAACTACTAGATTTATCTTGAAGAAGTCGTAAGATCCAACCGGTACGCATAAAAGTTGGCAAATCAAAGAGATGGCAATACACAAATAAGGAAGTAGTTATTGGCAGTGGTTTTGCTACTCCCAAATGCTATCAGGCTGTTTTCTTAATATGCATTCCAGAAAAGCTGATTCTTAAGAAGCTTAAAGAGAGTAGTAAAGAGGTTTTGTGGATCAGTCTCTTTTCTCCTTCAGTGAAATCAGTTTTGTTATCTGCTGTTTTGATTCCTGTTCTGCTTCCTTAGCCCCTCATTGGTTCTTTTCTCTATTTTATTTTTCCTCCCTTACAAAACAATTTATTTTCCAAATCTGTGCTATCTCGGCAGCGTCTCTTCCAAGATGTGCTTGCCACGTAATGTTCATTCCTCTTCACTGCAGCCTTCAGCTCTTCTCCTTATGCCAGTTGTCCTCCTCCTCTTGGCTGCTCTCTGAAGTCCCCACAGAGGACCCAGAGAGGTAGTGGTCCTAATCTACATCCTTTCAGGAGACACATTACAGAAGAACTGGGGTTTGTGATCTTCCCTTGTGGAGGTTAGAGGGAAAGAAACAGTGGAGTTTTTTCCCCAATGTGCCTGAAAAGAGAAGAGCTGGATTTGGATGAGGTGATAATGACACAGCTCAATCTCACCTAAGGAAAGGGCTCCAGGTTGGTTAAGCAGGAATACTTCTGGTTTTGGCAGAGCACTGCCACTGGGTGAGAAAGACATAGACATCTCTTCTGCATCACCCTTTGACAAAATTGAGGAACTTGGTCTGCGTACTTTCTGCATCTGGACAAGAATAAATTTATAGTGTATTCATACTTCTTTCTGAAAGTGCTGGGCATCATAGGTTGTATGTATCTGCTGCTTAAGTAAAGGGTGATGCTGTATACTTAAATACAATTCTAAACCAAAAGCACAATTAGCATATCTAACTTAGGTCTAATAGTGCTGACGTGGTCCTCACATCCTCTTTTGAGAGCTCTAGACTATTAACTGTGTACAAATCACTATAGATACAGAGAGAGTTCTCTTTTAAGAAATTAAATCCTGTTATTGATGATATGAAATACAGTTTATTTCAGAATCTCATGGGAGAGATTAATGAAAACAGCAAGATTTCGTAAGACCAAATAATTTTGGATTCAACAAATGTTTAACTATAAGTCGTAATAAAACCCCTAAAAATTACACTGAGTATATGCAGCTCTTACCTGAAACAGAACCATGTTGTATAAGCTGGTAACACATTTGGTTTTGGTTTAGGTTTTTCTGCATCAGACTTCTAAAGAAAGTTGTTTGTGTTTAAAGTAGTAGCTCTATTAATTGCATTCTCTATTCTCATAACTCTAGTTTGTAGTATATAATGTCTTATATAAAATCTTTCCTTCTCTTTAAGGCACAAGGAAAAGGAAATATAATGGACTACAAGAAGGTTGGTAAATTATATTTAAATCTATTTATTATTTTTTAATGTTTCCTTTAATATTTTCAAGGATATTCTTGACAGAGAGTAACTTCCGTATTAAAGTCAAGTTATAATTTGTGCATGTGTATATGGAGAGAGAGAGAATGGCTTGTGCAATTTCATGATGTTAGAAAGCCAGTAACAGTGAGCTGTAGTGTTAGTATCAAATGTAGCTATTTAATAATTTTTGCCATTATTTATACCATTTACTTCCCCAAACTTAGTTTAGAAACAAGACTTCTGATGTCTTTTGCTGTCGTCTTTTTCTGCAGTGATTTGCAGATTAGCTCCTATCAGCTGTTTCTCTATATCGATAGTGTATGCTGTTACATTTTTAATCTCACCTTATTGCCATCTATTAAAAAATACACACAAATACATTTTATAATAATTTGTGTTTCTTCCAGTCCCCGTTACCACTGCGTTTGCTACTGGGACTGCTTTATAGTAAAAGCAGACCTGAACTAACTAGCTTATCTGCTGAAAGTAGCTGGGACACCATAAAGCTCTTCGAGAGCTGTGGGAGATGGCTGAGAAGGTTCCCCTGGTTAAATACTGGAGCACAACTTTCTTGTGCTGGAGACAGAAGATGAGGTTGTGTCCCCAACTTGCTCACTGAGCACAAGCCTGACTTGTTCCAAATCTTAATTATCGGGTCCCTCATGATCTACTTATCTCCAGAATCAATGGGAAATAATATATAAATCATTGAGCCCCACGCATGATTAAGAATTGCTTCTTGAACTGCGGCCTGAAGAGTTACAGCTATCACTGATTGCTGCTAGTACATAAGGCTAACACGCATGTATAGGTCAAACGTTTTTATTATAACTATGCTGTATTAAGAAAATTTGTAATTTGGGTTATTAAAAAGCTCTCTGTCCTTCCTTCCTATTAGACCATAAAAAAGATCTCAACCTTATCTTGCTATTTAAAATTATTGTGCTTTTGGGTTTTTCTACAATAGAAGAAACTGATACAGCTGTGACTTTCTAGATCACAGCTCAGAGCACTGATTTTCTTCTTCAAATATGTCTGAGTACGTGAGACACTTCTGCGAATGGTTAAGTTAGGTTATTTGCTTTTGTAAGTCCAGAATGGATTTTCTCCTTTTAATTGTTACAATTGTGATCTGCCCAGTGTAATTTCCATAATTAAAAAAGGAAAAATAATAATCTAAAATGGTTTTGCTGAATTAAATATTTATCAGTATATTCTGTATTTTGACTTAGATTATTTCATATTTTGGATCCTTCTGATTAAATTGAAAAACTTATAGAGTGCCTAGGCAACTTGGACACTTGAATAAAAGGAAGGAAGGGGAAAAGCCCTTCTTCAAGTGTTGTATTTTGTGCAATTGACTTCAGCCAGGAAGCATGTAATTTTACTAGCTCCAAGTAGTCATCGCTTACATAAGCACGGACATTATGACTTTAGTAATGATAGTGAAAAATTCTCCGTGTTGTTTGTGAGCTCAAACTATAATCAACTTTGGGGTTTTGTAGAAGTTGTTCTCAAAACTGTGATGTTGTGTCCCTCTCTTCTATGTTTCTTCGTTTAAAATAAAAGTGGCCATTAGTTACATCCATGCTAAATGAACCCAGTAACCTGTAGCTTATCCCATCATAGTAGCTTGGCCAGTCCGTGCACACAGCCAATTAGAAGGCACATTGTGCAGTACAAATTAGTATTTCGGGTTTTGCCCTTTGCCGTGATGTCTTTATTTCTACATCACTGGAGTCAGTGTTTTGCACGTTTGGTCATTTTCTTCCCAGCATCAAGGTCCCTTCTCATCTTTCTCTTCAGTTGCTAGAATTACTTTAATATTCCTAATCAAATTTGGGGACTGGCTTCTCATTGAGTCTCTGAAACAGCTTCTCTTTAATTTTGTAAAAGCGAAAGTCACCAAAACTAGCTGTAGAACTTCTGGAAATTTGCCTTGTTTTTGTTAATTTTTATTATGAACCTCAGTGTGCCACTTAGTTGAGATAACAATGTTGTTACTTTAGTTGAATTCATAAATATATGTATACAAAAATTGTTAGCTGTTCAGCCTGTTTAAGAATATTTTACCTTACTTCCTGTGGCTTTTAATTAAAATAATAAATTAAGGTAAATTTGAGAAATTAAGCCATTTGACATGCTTCCTTAAAAGGCAAAGGTCTTATTGTATTTCAATTTTGAGACTGTTCAAGATTTTGAATTGTTCTTTTGATGCACGTTATATTAAAATGGTATCCCTGATGTTTTTTTCACTGACAAAAAAATATCTAGATGGTACTAGTAAATTTAGTGAGGGCTCTGACATAAATATAGAAATGAAAAGCTTTCTATTAATTTAATTATGTCTGAGACTGTCATGTCAATAAGGTCACTATGTTCTTCAAAAATTTTTAGCAGTTTTTTTCTCCCAGCTTTTGTTAATCTTTTTATCTGAAGGACTTTGATATCACAAAAGGCTTATTTTAAGGTCTGTGTTTCTGAATGTATTTTCCCACGTTAGTATCAGAATGTTTCACTCTTTTTTTCTTACACCATTATACTGCATCCAGGCACGTTATTGATCCATCATTGTGGTGTTTGAAAGTCTCTTCCAGATATGAAAAAGTAGTTTCAGCTCTGTTTTAGTGGTGTTTGTCGGATAACAAAAGAGAAAGTACCAATATGTGGCAGGGACAAAATTCATGTATGTCCTTGAAAGAGACAGCAGCTTTCCTGTCACCCTCATTTGTATGTGGATTTTGGCAAAAATCTCAGACTTTTTAAAATCAAAAAGCTTTTGTACCTTTTACATCTACTTTGCATGCAAGATAAGCTGTGCAATTCTAAAACAACAAATTGAGATTCTCAATTTATTTGTTACTATTTTATAATATTGATTAAAAACTCTCCACTGAAGTCAAGGCCTTAATGGTGCTTGGAATTATACAGACTTGTTAAATGAGTGTTACAAAGGCACAACTTGTAGCAGAAGTAAGCTAGGAATAATTCTTGTTTCCTGGCCAAGACTCTAGAAAAATTACAAGATAAGGCTAAACAAAGAAATAAATCCTGTATTTTGCAGGCAACAGCTATGTTACTGCAAGGCTTTGCCATTTTTCTAAATGGAATATTCAGAAAAGATAAATGAAGTCAAATGAAAGGGGACATAGCAAAACTTTTTAATTTTTTTTGTACTGCCACCCTGTCCATGAGCTCTGCTGTCTGTTATAGAGGCCCTTCATCCAAACTGGCATGGGAAATACGGTACATCAGCATGGTACGCTGTGACATACTTTTTTGGTTTGTATATGAAACGCTGTGCAATGACATTAACACAGGGAGCAGATTTTGTACTGTACTGGAACTGGCATGAGTCAAGAAGTGGTGGATCCAGCCTTTCACTGCGTGGCACTAATGTCTTGACTTCCCATATGGTAGGAAAGAGAGAGAAGAAAAATGGGAAAGGTCACATCCAGAAACAAGCAGGATTCTCAGCGGTAGCCTACTGTCGTGCAGCTAATAAATAACAATAACGCAGTGCCATCCAGTTGCGTTAGCAAGAGTCGCATGGTTCCCCTTCCCCAGCTCACCATTGACTTCCCACCGTTAGTGCGTTCATCCTCCTGCAGTGCTGTCTGCAGAGCAGTTTTCCAGTCCCGGGGTGTAAATGACAGCGGTCCCACAGTTCTGTTTGTTTAAATGCCAGAGACTCATTGTGAGATGTGTCATGGGACTGTAGGCTGGAGACTATTCTCTCTCTTGCTCCTGAAATGCAGCAAAGAGTTAAAAACAGAGGGTTGTTGTTTATTGATGCTTATGACCTGTGGCAGTTTTCCACTAAAATTTCTTGTTTGTTTTGGAGCAGCCGCTGTCATTAATTCCTTTTATTGTGTATATTAAAAAAAAAAAAAAACAAAAAAAAAACAGAATAGTCAGTGATTTAATGAATATAGGGCTTTTTAGCTGTGTTAGTAATATTACAAAAGCAGCCACAACCATTCAGAAGAAGCAATTTTCTCCTTTGTTGGAATTAACCATATCTGAATGATCAAGGTGTACATCCAGTACCAATAATCAGTTGCATCTTTGTTTTTAATCAGTGGGTATTTTCCATGGCTTCTTTGGGGTGAGAATCCAGCACAACTTTTGCTTCATTAAAGCAAACAACTATCACATCTTTTAACATAAATATCAAGTTAATTGCTTGTGTATGCTAAGATGACAATTAACAATCACTATTTTCATTAATGTGATTTAAGATTTTGCTAAAAAGGCATCGCATAACTACCATTGTCTAGATTTAAAAGCTAGTGGGCCTTGTAAGTTCATAGTGAAAGACCATGGCAAGGCGTAAGGAGGAGGAGTTGGTGTCTCTTCTAAAATATTAAAGGGTCTGTACAATCAATCAGTGTCTCGGAATGACTTGTAATTTTTTGGCAAAGTGTACTACAAGAACTGCATAACAGCTGGAGTAGCAGCGTTCCCTGTAAGCAAGCCATCTTTCCTCTGCTACTGGGGGTGACTGTCCAGATTTGGTCTCTTCCTAGATAGAGTGGTTTTGAGTTTAAGGAAAAAGAGAATTTTTCTATTTGTCAGATGAGCGGTACTACTAATGGAAGTTTCTACAGGGTGCTTATGCCCTTTAAAAGATGCATTTCTTTACCTTTTATTTAGAAAAAGTTTCTACGAAAATATTGAATAAATACATTTACTGCTCCAATTTCAAGTGGCATATCATTCTACATCTATAGGCAACAAAGATTATTAAAAAAATAAATGTATCTTATGACATTATGAAGGGATGCATTCAAATGGTTGTCCAGCCCATTTTGAGAAGGAGGAGCATAACCCTGTGTCCAGCTACAAAAACTGTGAGGAGATGCTGAGATATTTCAAGGTACTTAAAAAAACAAAGAAAAAAATTGACAAAGTTGATCTGCTAGCTGTGAAACATGTCAGTGCCTTTTCAAGGTAACGTTTCAGCA